TGAGTGTGTGTGTGTGTGTGAGTTTGTGTGTGTTTGTGAGTGTGTGTGTGTGTGTGAGTTTGTGTGTGTTTGTGAGTGTGTGTGTGTGTGTGAGTTTGTGTGTGTTTGTGAGTGTGTGTGTGTGTGTGAGTTTGTGTGTGTTTGTGAGTGTGTGTGTGTGTGTGAGTTTGTGTGTGTTTGTGAGTGTGTGTGTGTGTGTGAGTTTGTGTGTGTTTGTGAGTGTGTGTGTGTGTGTGAGTTTGTGTGTGTTTGTGAGTGTGTGTGTGTGTGTGAGTTTGTGTGTGTTTGTGAGTGTGTGTGTGTGTGTGAGTTTGTGTGTGTTTGTGAGTGTGTGTGTTTGTGTGTGAGTGTGAGTGTGTGTTTGTGTGTGTGTGTGAGTGTGTTTGTGTTTGTGTGATTGTGAGTGTGAGTGTGTTTGTGTTTGTGTGTGTGTATATATAAATACCCGTAACCAGACTAAAGTTACTTTGTTATTGATTAAATGATTACATATTATTCACACAATAGCAATAAATTATGAATAAATTATTGATTCTCCCTAATTTCTCTTTTTCGTCTTTTAAATGTTCCTTTCTAAAACAGCCTACCACTTATATACAGTCAGAAAGTCCAGTTTTGTGGACATTCACACAAAGACCAGTCATTAGTCAGGTGACTATTTTAATAAGTGTTTTCTCAACATTTCAACATTGCATCAACTACTGATGAACACATTCATTTTCATTTGAATTATCACTCAGTTGGTTATTTAATTACTATGTCTTTGGAAGGCTTTTGTCTTTTAAACACATTAAAATGCACAAATTCAAGTTATTTCTTATTTACTTGTAATGCAGGCATTCACAAACTTTCACCTAATATTTTTTTACTTGAAGTACCCCTGAGATTTAAAAATAAATATTTTAATAAGGAAGTATCACATTTGCATCTCCACGGCTCTCTGGCGTTGGTTAATAGTCACATGACATGCAGGTAAACAAATAAAATATTTCATTTTTTTAGTAAGTGTTTTATTTTGATTATTATTTTAAAGGTGACGTATCATGAAAATCAGACTTTTCCAGGTGTTAAGTGCTATAATCAGGTCTCGGGTGCATCTACCAACCAAGGAAATGTGAACAAGATTAACCCACTAACTGTGTTTTGGGAAGCCTTTTTCTGCAAGCGTCTGAGAAAACGAGCGTCTGATTTCGCTCGCTTGGTGACGCGGCAAAGGGATCTCATTATAATATTACCGCCCCTTAATCTGTAAGTTTACACCCAATGCACCATTATTGTGTTTTCGCAAGCGACAACGGTGCACCAGCTCTAATGCCATGATGAACGTTTGAGCGAAGCATGCTAACTGTTCTGTGTTTGGCTGCAGAGACGAGCACAGAACACTGTTTAGAGTCCCAGCCTCAGAGGAGACGACAGAGCAGTGCATTTATTGATTTATTTACTGTATATTGCTGCTGCTGCCACACAGATCTAAAATAAACATGTGATTTATTTCCCAGCTGTTTAACTTCACAGACATAACCCACTGTTTTTGTAACTCGTGTGTTTTTAACGTAAACTTGTGTGTGAATGTGAACTTAGTTTAGTACTCGCATGCTGTGACAGCTGCTTTCTGTGCGTGTGCTTCAGATGTGTGCGCTCAGAAAACCCTATATCAGAAGTTTACACTCATATGCTTTAAAACACATGATTTCAGCACGATAAACATGATAATCAGAACCAAAACAGATGTTTTTAGCAGGTCCGAGCTGTAATGGCGCAGCTCTATTCTGGAAAAGGGGGCGGGGAGCAGCAGCTCATTTGCATTTAAAGAGACAGGCCCAAAAAACAGCGTGTTTCTGCTTCCACTCAAAATAGGCATTTTCAGAATGATATATTAAATTATCTGTGGAGTATTTTGAGCTGAAACTTCACAGATACATTCTGGAGACACCTGAGACTTATATTATATGTTGTAAATGGGGCATAATATGTCACCTTTAAAAAGATTTATTTTAATTTTACATTTTATGATTTAATTAATTATTAGCTTTGCATTAAACTCACGAACCCCAGTTTGGGAAACCTTGATGCAATTTAATGCTTAATGCACTTCATGTTGTTAATTTCAACGAATGGAATATATGTTCTTACTCTTTGTATTTTTATATCAATATGGTACAAGATTATCC